TTTGTGCTCTGCGATGCGACAAAATCGACTCAAAAAAGATGGGAAATGCATCCCCCCAGGGGGGGACTCGTGGGAAAAATGGTACCCCGGGGAGAAATTGACATACCCGGGGGGATTATTGACATACCCGGGACGATTATTTTTTTGGGTCGAAAACGATCTACCCCGGGGCTAAATCAACGAACTCATGCTTCCAGGCCGAAAAGAAAGGTGATGGGGGGGGGGGGTGTACTCATAGTCGTGGATGCCGTAGTCATTAGACCATTGACCTCGCATCCCTACAAAGCCGGGACGGAGCACGCCGGGTTCTCACCGGACCAGGCTCTCACATCACCAAGCGCGAAGCACCGTGAGGTATTTGGCGAGTCGCATGAAGGGTGAGCTACATCCTGCTAAGGGTGTTCGGCATCTTGTGCTTACTTCCTTGCGTACGGATGACAGCTGCGTATGACTTAATTTATTTTCTGGTGCGTTCACTTCCAGAGACAGTTGTAAGCACTGTGTATCTGCCTTGAGGGTGCTTGACCATTTTAACACAACGTGGTGCGATCATCCCCCGTTGCGCGGAGTGAGGGTTCTCCACCCCGCACAACATGATCTTCTCGACCACCATTCATTATGGTTACCGCCAAAAAAAAGAGCGAGGCAAAAAAAACCCCGGTAACCTGGTTGCCAAGTTCACGAAGTGAATTGGCTTTTGTTTTACAACGTCGTTGCCAAGCGACGAAAACCCAATCCCGATGGCAAACACCGAGCGGGGGGCAAAGGTGATGGGGGGGGGGGGGAACTCTAACCCAGGGGGGAAACTCCGTAACTTACGGTATGCCGCTGGCACGAGCCGATTGAAAAAAAAAATCCTCCCGAGACACAAACACCGAAAACCAAGATTGCGACAAACGAAACTCACTCGCAAACAAACCCGTTTTGTGTCACTACTCTAGTCGAGATACTCGCGCGGCGACCTCCCCACTTCTCTCTTTATCTACGGTCACGTATCCTGCTGGCAGGCGCCTACTTGATCCCTTGCGAGACGCAAACACTTCGTCCGTCGTCGAAAGCGCAAAGAAACAAATCGTACTCGTAGCTCCCTTCTGTGGTACGACTTAGCCCTTGGACTTTTGAACCTCCCACTTTTTCCGGACCTCGACGCAAATCTTCGGCCCCTTCCTCGCGGGTTTGTGTGCCACCAAAAACTGGTGGCTAACGAGTGCTTCTAGACAAGAAGACACACACGCCGCCGGTCTTGCGTCCTCCCATCCGGACCTCCTCTAACAGCTTGTCATTGTTTTCGTGTTGCTCCCTCCAGAGTTGTACTCTGGAGTCGCTGTGCCACCCGCCCCCTTCCTCTTCCTCGGGTTTCCTGTCGGACGTCCTGTAGGCGGCGGTCCTCCTCCGCCATGTGACTCGCGGTCACCTTCGGCATCATTGCCCTGGGCGGCAATCTGTTCCCTGAGCACTGCTTTCGTTTTATAGACTAACTGAAGGCTTCGATGGTATTGTAACTCAGCGCCAGCACAACATGCTCTACGCGACGCACTTTGAGCCAACACCCGCTGGGTCAGACCTGTCGAAGGTGTTTTCTAATGTCGTCAGCGCCCATCGATTGGCGCCTATCCTCCATGATACCACCTGCAGCAGACCAGCGACCATTCACGAAGCATGAAGATGAATAACACTGAGGGGCATGTGGGGCCCAAAATCCCGCTACAAGTCATCCGGCAAGGGCGTTCGCGCACACTCCAACAGATGGTTGTATCCAGGTTTTGTACATCTATTCAACACAAATTATATATCGTAATGCCGAGAACACGCTTGACATTCTCAAAAGAGCGTGTGGCATTAGTTATTTGGTTGGTCTCCGTCGCCGAGGACCAGCGAAGTACCGCAAAAGGTACCGTACAACAACCGCGACACCCGTTCATACGCGCACAGAGAGGACACCAGCAAACCGCGACAAGCTGTACTTTTTCCATACTAAATCCCTATTAATAAGGGTTTCACCACAGTAGTACGGAAAACGCCGTAACTCGACCAATTTAAAGAGGAACCTGGTCCGTTGTATATCATATGAAAGGTAGTTCTCCTGCGCATCGTTTGAGCCATCTCTGACACAGATCTGTAAGATTGGTGGTGGTGAAAACGCCTATATAGATACAAATACCGAGGACTGCTGTACAGGACTTATATCGCCACCCATAACTTTTTCGTCCGGGCCTCTTTCAGTTCCAAACTCGGCGAAAGTACTGAGCATGTCAAGTACGACTATATGCGATAAGTTAGACTAACCTCTACCGCTTGTGCCAGCACCCATGTGTGCGTTTCTACACCTTACGGTCCATTTTGGGGCGATCACGGAGCCCCCTTTCCACCGCAGCAGAATGTATACATGGCAACACGTATTCAAGAATCTGACGCTACCAGACGACCCTCCACATCCAGGGCTGCTCGTAGATATACATCCGACCAAGTTCGTCACTCTGTAAGCTAAGCTAGGGCAAGAGCGCCGTCCTGTGCTGCTGCTCTGGTCCGCAAAAATACACATGCACAAGAACCAATCTTGCCACCAGCAACGATTTCTTACGAACTGGTTGCATCTGATTCATCACAGTCGGCAGTCAGCAGTGCTGTCAAGTGTATGCAACGGGGTGTACCTGCTGTTTCATCCAGCACCTTGTCCTCGTCTCCCGGTGGCCCACCAAAGTAGCGGGTGCTGGTCTCTGCTGTGGCTGATTTTCGAACCAAAAGGGGGGTTTCCAGCTGTACTAAAGGCTAGATGTTTGGTTTTTCCAAACCCGAACATAGGTTGTCTGGGTCCCCTTAAGGACCACAGCTCTTCGCCGCGACACTGCTACCGTTCAAGGTTTCAAGTGAACAATATCTTTCCGGGGACAAGCTCATGTCAAAAACGCTATCGCGAGGCTTCATGGAGCGGTCGTCTGTCCCATTCCAAGTTGCCGCGAGTCCCAAGTCGATTCAAAAATCGCTACACGGACAGTAGACTTTCGTAGCCTATGTTTCTATACCATGTCGAGGCAACTGCACTGACTGTCACTGCTGTCGCTGTGCAGCTATTCTCTCCGCTGCAGCTACAATCTAGCTGGTACGCAATCACACAGAGTGAGTGTATCCAAACTCAGACGCCCAAGCTGTCTTCAACTGACGGGTACATGATTGGCAAAAGGCCTTCACAAATACCGCATCACACCCACGCATGTTAGGATGATCCGAACTGGGGGTAGCTTGTCGCAAGACGTGTGTTGAATAGGGTGTCGGCAACTCGGCGAACTCGCGCCAAGGAGGAAAGATGCGCTGGGTTTGTTGTATAGACTTCTTCTTCACATGAAAAGCATGGACTCAAATGAACACATACATGAACAGACATGAACTGCACGCATGTAGACAATATCGCCTCCCTTGAAGTACTCAAGTTCCACAACAAACGCTCCTCGATACTTCCGGCAAAGACGTGTCATGCGACGCTGCCGGATGACTCACCGCTATCTCACATCATCGTTGGATACTCCTTGGCCGCGCTCAAGAGCCATCGATCAGGCGAGGTGAAAGCGAGATACCTGAAAGATGGCAAACACCATGCCCGCCCGACCAAGTCTACCCCAAATCACTCTAACTTTCAAGTTGCTGAGAGTCCTCAGGTCGATTCACTGATCGATACTAAACTATTTCTACACCATACGATGAATCGACCTCGTCACGGATTAGGAGGTGTTGAATGGAGAGATGGGAACGTTTTTGTCGTGAAGAAAACAACAACAACAACAACAACAGCGATAACAATAGACCCCACGAGAAGACTTCGCGACGCACAACAGCTTCACAACAAAACGCTTCTCCATACTTCCGACAAAAACGCACCACCACATATTTATTTGGATTCCGCGGCCACGCTCAAGAAAATCGATCAGGAAGGCGATACCCATTTATTCCTCTGAAAGATAGTAAAAATGATGCCCGCCCGACCAACATATCTACGCAATATCGCGCTCCAAGTTGCAGCGAGTCCTCAAGATGATTCAAAATCGTTATATTACCTACCTGGCAGCCAATATTTCTACACCATTCAACAGACCTTACGAGTAGAAAATATGGACGTACGCTACCACCACAGTTCCACCACTCTCCTCGATATTTCGGGCAAAGACGCGGCGCCATCGCATAATTGGATACTCCACGGCCCGCGCTCAAGAGCAATCCATCGGAGAAGTCGAAGGTTGACAGTCCATGACGCTCCTCGAAACTTCGGGCGAAGACCCGCCATCGCATCGTTGGATACTCCGCCCGCCCTCAAGAGCAATCGATCAGACCAGTAGAGGGTATTGCAGATACGAAACTGATCTGATGCCAAACATCATGCCCGTCTGACCAGGTCCTACACGAAAATGCGTGGCCTTGCACGATGTTTCATTTCTTCACTACAGGCACGTTGTTGATACAGACAGGCGTACAACAGTACAACGACACCACACGACGGTGCACGGCTTCCTCGCTGCGATCGTGAAAAACACTGAATGCGGAGGGCCTTTTCCCCACAGGGCTCGTGCGAGGGGCAAACATGCCACCACACACCTGCTGCGAGATGCACCTTCGCCCCGTAGAAAATTCAAAATGCGAACAAGGGGGGGGCTGGACAACCCAAAACGTACTTGGATAGGGTAGTCAATAGCAATCTTACAACAGGACTAAGGATACACGTCCAGGACAGCGAAACAACCGCGCTGCTACCTTGGGGTGTTCCTCCCCCGATTCAGGGGGCATCTGAATGAAAACACTACTTCGAAGTACTCAATACGAAGAATACCGTTTAGAATGAAACGAACCAAGGAAAGACATACGGCAATCCCACGGCCGCTAGGTGACGGACGACCCGGTGGTCGACGCATACATGCGGTCGGCCTTTGGGCTCCTGAAAGCCTCAGCTTCAACCACGACCATGGCTGCTGCTGCTGCTCCACTGCCGCGTTGCATCTTCGCAAGCCGTAGACTTAGCCGTCGAGGTAGCAAGGAGCCGTTCCGGTCTCTGAGCACGGCTGCCCATAGTCCATGATCTGGATACGGTTGAACCAAAAAGAGAACAGACATCGGACGTGATTTTAGAGAGCGGCGCGGAACACCAGGAAGCCAGTCCCGTCATACATGGCGACAATAAAATGATGATGAGGCAATCTATACGCAGGCTAGAGCGACCAACGGCGCCGGCATGCCGCCGACGGTCTGGGCTTGCCGGAGACAACAAAAGGATGGTAGAACGTGTACCTGCAAGCTCCGTTTGGTGTTGGCATCGCTATCACGACCGAACCCAAAAGAAAGACGTGCTTGCGGAACAAACCACTGAAGTGTTCGAACCAAACCACAGGTGCTAAACGCAACCAAGAACTTACAGGCCATGCACAGCAGTTATTGCAAAAGGCGGAGGAGTCATGACAGGACTGCTCGCCCAATGTCTGTGATTTGACTGGCACATAGAAATGGCTTACCTCGGTGACGCAGCAATCTTCGCCGCCGAACTCGCCGCAGCCCACACCCCCGCATTGACCGCAGTCGGCCAGACAGCAAACCTCGCCCCCGGCAGACTCCATTCCGGGGACGCCATTGGTGCACAAAATGAACTGGTCGTCCATGCTGTCTCCGTCCCACGAAACGAAGTCATACGAGCCGCCGCCGGAGCCGCTGGGCATGTCCGTCTCTTCGGGCACCACGGGGGACATGGAGGGAACAACCGGGTTCAGCACCTCATCTCCTGGAGTCGAAGCGCACGAGTTGGGCGGTGGTTAAAGAAGGGGTGGATTCAGCGAGGGGTTTGGATGAGGGTGGGCGGGTTTTAACGCAAACGTAGAATCTCGGTTCCACATCCAGATTTGGGTATTGACAAAAGAAACGATCCACACAATGCTCTTCACGATTGGTTAAAAATAAGTACCGCCGGTCCGTTCTTTTATGGCCGAAAGGAGATTTAATGGCTTTTATTTCTCGTTGTTGTCACAAAGGATTCACATCGGCATGATGAATAGATCGGCCGGTTTAACTCACCGTCAATGTAGCAAGGAGACGCTCCAGTTGCAGCGCAAGCCTCTCCCTCTTCCACGATTCTGTTTTGATCACGCCGTTAGTGCCAAAGAGGTGATGAGCAGGAGGGAGCGAGTAAACGAAAATGGCGTCATTAGGTGGTGCTGTTCGCGGCCGACCTTGCAACTCTGCATGAACCAACACCTTAGTCCTTCCAAAGATACACGGATGGGAGAACCACATCAAAAATGAGCTCGAGGGGCCTTGGACACTCACTCGCTCTCGCAGCAGTCGTAGGACCCTCCCGGGCGCCCGCTGCAGCCAACACCACCGCAAGACCCGCAAGTCAACGCGCAGCACGCTTTGCCGTTGGACGACTCGATGCCGTAAACACCGTTGCTGCACCTCTCTATGTCTGTTGCGGTCGGCGAGGGAGGAGAGCGGCAGGGGGAGGCGGGAGCGGTGGCGTTCGATTGTTGTATAGAGCGGAGCTTTTACTGTAATTGCAGCGGGGGACCAAATGCTCTCGAATCGACCCACACGCGGAACTCGCTTGGCTTGCGCCAGATCGATTGCAGAGCGAACGAAACAGCAGCTTATGGGGCAGTCCCTCAACCAAGATACAACAATCAAAGTGGACGAAAACTAACAATTCATGCGAAAAAAACAAAGTTCGGCCGATCAGCGCCTTCCCTGCCTTCACACTCGCATGCGTACGTTTGCTGTGTTTTGGTGGTTCGTGCCGAGAAAAAAGGCTATTGTTGTTCAGGTTTTCTAGGGTTGAGGCGCCAAAGCTAAAAATCATGGAACAATAATAGTCGAACGCTGATAAATGAAGGACATATCTCAACTTTTGATTTCCTGCCTTTGAAGAGAAAGCCGTTGGAAGACTCAACATTCCTCGCCCGGTCTATCCTTGAAAATGGATTGAACAATTGGCTGTCCACAAAATCTAGACAAGGAAGCGAGGCAGCTCCGAGCGTAGGCACAAGTAAAAAAAAGCTGGCATGCATAGTTGTTCGCGCCTCAGAAGAGTGAGGCAGCACCTACCGCTAGTCGGGGCGCTGTCCGGTCCAGAGACAGGTGAGGGTGCCGTGTAGACGGGGGCTTGCACCGGCGCGGAGCCTGGCGTGGTCGGGGCCGTTCCAGGGTAAGTAGGGGCGGTTCCAGGGGTGGACGAGCCCTCGCCACCAGTAGGGGCCGAGTAGACAGGTGCCTCTACGGGCGCAGTGCCGGGAGTAGTCGGAGCACCTCCTATCGGGGCCGGGGTTTCGATGTAGTGGGGAGCAGGCCCGGGAACGGTCGGGACTGGATAAATCAGGCCGACAAGGGTCGGGGGCGGAGGGTCGCCGTGCATTATTTAGTGGGTGCACAGTCTTTATGGAAGCAGTCATGCTTTCGAATACAAAATTCCCAATGATTTGAAATGAAATCGTTCGAATACAATTTTGTATTGTTGGTGGATGCACAACGTTCACTGAAAAAGACGTGACGATTCCTCAATGTCTTGCCTGGAAATCTCTTCACAGTCGTTGATGCCAGTGTTTCACTCGGCAGCACTAGTAATACCAACCTCCTCGACATCGAACACGGGTGCTATGAATAGGCGTGGGGTGCGTCACAGCGTTTGCCGTGTGGACTTCAGAGCTGCATATCATGTGGCTCTACCGCGGTTTCGACCATCGGAGTACGTCTACCCAGAAATCAAGTGTCGACAGTACGCTACAAGGCGTTAAGTAGGTAATGCATCAGCACCGGAGAGGGTGGGCACGCATGTGCAGAGTGCAGACAGCCTGGAGGCCAGAAAAATCGCGACCGGACCGAGGAGGGCCACGCATGAAAGCTCGTTACTCACCGTCCCTGCTGTCGTCGTCATACCACGGGTCGTAGGTGTACGAGTACGAGTCCGAGAAGTCGAAGGAGAAGTCGAAGACGTCATCGGAGGAATCATATACAGGGGCAGCGGGCCCTGCAACAAGACACGGAAGGAAGGCGGGAAGTGGTGGTGGCGGAGGCAGCGGCAGGAGAGGTTAGGGTCGACGTCCTGGCAGCTTCGACCATTCTCGGAAGCGTGCGCTCGCGCGCACGTGCGCCTCGTTTGGACGGAAATCCCAAGACACGAGGGGCGGCAGTGGAACAGGCACGTTTTGAAGGGTGGTGGCATTGGTATCTTCTAAACAGGCTCCCGAGCAAGCTACCTCATCTACGGCTGTACACAGGTGGCCCATGATTCCCCTCCACGTTTGAGACGAGTAACTCCGCAAGTCTCCGTAGCGGGTGTCGTGAAAGTGGGTGGAATGATCTCCAGCAATACGCGATGTTCTTCGAGTGTTTGGTATAGGTGCGGAGGATTGGGTGGAAACTACAATATATCCTGTTTATGAAACGTGACAGCAAGGTCAAGAATCGGCCGAAAAAGGCCGGGCCGGGCTGTTTGCCGAGAAAATCGAGGGAATAATACGCCCCACACCCGATGGAACAGAGCGGCGAACGACTCCTACGGACAGGGTGTCTATTTGCTCATCACCTCCGGACGAGAGTGAGAGACCGGTGGCGGCACACAAAGGCCTCTGCGACACCCCAGAAAAAATATTCGTTGATGAAAATGTATGGCATATGAAAAACTGCCGCTGTCACTTGTGCCTTGAGTCATGTGCATGCGCCTGGCACGCAGCGTAGACCGAGCATTTCCACCTGATGCTCACGACGAATCAAGTTTCATGGCCCATTCCTAAGCGGACCCATGCGTACCTTGGCATCTACCCTACACATCGTATGATGCAACGGCAACAGTACCTACCCGGAGTCGCGGGGGTAGCGAAGGTCGGCGAAGGAGTGGCGTCATCATCTGGTGGAGTTGTGATTCCCGTTGACGTTGCCGTTTCAAACGGCCGTTCGTTGCAGTAGTGTTGCCGATGAGACGTTTAAGCGCGGCAGAGCAAGCGGTACAGGGCAAAGGGAGATGGCACTTTCTTTAGGCATCAACGTACGAAGGCGAGCACGGGTTCTCAACATCCATGCAACAGCTTCCTCCGTCGTTTTCCTGGCTGCGACAAGGACGAAAGTGCAAGAACCTTCAGGAGGTTCGTCGCGAAACGTGGTCGAGTAGACTGCCCGCAGGTTGTGCAGGCTCCAAGTTCATCCGCAACGCATCCAAATGTTTTGGCGATAATCGAGGAATGAGGGCGGCGCTGCGTTCCACGGAAACAACATGCAGCATCATTGCCAACGAACCGAAAGGCTACCACATCGCGATTACCGCTACAAACAAAGACGCCAGAAAAATCTGATCGGCACGGGTTACTGATAAACGTGGGCAAGTCAAGAAAACATCGACAGACCCACCACAACCGTGTCAACATGAGGCTCCTGTGCGTGGCCGAATCTACCATCTCTCCGTGGTCGGTGCCTCATCAGCATGGCGCCAGATACTTTCACGCCGAGATCATCAACCATCCTGTCTTCACGCAGACCGTTCGACTAGTCAGGTCTGACTAGTCTACCAGTCTGAATAGTGAGTGCTGATTGCTAGTATGGTTTCGCTTCGTTTCAACAAAGGTTGAACGCGTGTGCCGTAACTTACCGCAGACGGGCACGACCGCCTCCCCCTCGAGGGCTGAAAGGTCGGGCGTGTTCCCCTCGTCGTCGGCATAGGACACGGAAGCGATGACCTCGGCGCCCTCAGGCTGCCCGCACCAGTCCAGCCAGACCTCGAAGTTGGTCGGGGTGGCCTCGAGGTCGTCGACGGTGAAGACCACGTCGCCGCCGTCGTAGGTGGCCACGCCGCCGTCCACGGTGGCCTCGGTCACCATGCCGTTGAACTGGACCGTCACCGTGGCGCCCGTGGCGGCGCAGGGAACGCTTCCGCCGGAGGTGGAGACGATGTCATCGAGGGCGACTGAGACCAAACAGGTGGGAGCGGTCGCGCGGTCGAGGGGATGGGGGCGGCGCTTTCGTCAAGGGTACGGGAGAAGTCAAGCGTTCGGGGGACGATAACGTGTGGATTGCTGTACAAATACAACGCTTTGGGAGCGAATCGAAACCTTGCTGGCCAACGACGAACAATCAACTACACAAATAAACATTTCAGTGAAAGTTGGACACTCACGGTCCAACTCCTCGAAGTTGTCGACGTCGAAGACGTTCGCCTCGTCCCCTCCGATGGCGAGGAGGTTCTCCTGGGACGGGCCCGAACCCACACCGACGGCGTACAGGATGGTGCCCTCAGCCCGGGCTGCGTCGGCTTCATCCTGCGTGACGGAAAAAAAAAAGCGTGCGCAGCCCACAGGAAGCAGACGGGGGAGGAAGTGAGGATTTCAAATGGTCTTCATGCACTATAAAAGACATCTCAAGATTTGGGTACAGGCAGGCGGTAAACTCGACGCTCGACACAGTCGTTGGTGCACGCGATCTGGATCGGGACGAATCAGTCCCGCAAACAAGGGCATCGATCCAACAAACCCTGCCGTGCTTGCGGCTTTCCCCATCGCCCCCGTCACGGTGAAACGAAATGTAGCGTGCCACGATATGCGCTACCCACCCGACATAGAATACCCAAACGAAGCCATCCCTTGGCCGCGAATAGAAGAGCTATGGTTCCAACGCAAGGTACCAACGTGTAGCAAACACAGAGGGCTCACCCGCAGAATCTCCGTTTAAGCAAGCCCAAAAAAAAAAATACATAGTCGTGCGCAAGCGAACCTGAGGGTCGGGCGCAGCTCCGTCAGTAGTGACGATCATGAACGACGTAGCGGCGGGAGAGGCGCTGAGGAGCTCCCTGCCCTTGGCGATGCCGTCGATGATGTCGGTCCCGCCCGAGTGCTTGACGTCCGCGTCTACGAAGGCGTTGAAGTCCTCGAGGGAGTAGAATGTGCCGCCCTCCGAAGCGTCGGAAGCGAACTGGGCGAAGGAGGCGCTGCCGCCGTTCGTGAAGAGGTTCTGTTCGGCGAAGGACGCCACCGTGTTCTTGGCGAACTCCTTCGACAGCTCCCAGTCGGCGGTGCCGACGCTGCCCGAGGCGTCGATGATGACGGCCACGTTGACCTGTATTGTCGGCATGCGGGATCATTGGTGGATGAGATTGGTGTAGGGCGATGTCACGTGGCTGCACGTACATGGCGAGTGTCACTGCATACAATGCACAATCCGTGTCCCGTCCGGAAAAAATCAATCCGTTCAGCTTGCGGGTCGACCCACCGTCGAGAGCATGCAGGTGCTCATGCCTTAAATCTCTCTTCGAACAACCAACCAATCGTCTGAGTTAGCTATCATGTAGGTCTCAGAAAGGGCGAACATGATTCGGCCTGCCAAAAGAGATACCGCTGACGTGATCACCGATTTTGCTTCGACAAGAGCACAACAATTAAAAGCTTCGTACAATATTGCCGTGACAGCGAGCAGCCTCGGACACCCGACAACGTATTACGTTGACGTGGGGATCGTTTCAAGCTTCATTGGTCACCACCACACCGTCAAAAATACGTAGGGGGGCGAGGGAGGGGTATATGGTAGAGAGACAAGGTCCCTCTGCGCGCGAATAAGGCAAGCACGCCGCGAATGTGCCCACAGGAAGGGGTTGGAACTGCCGTTACGAGACTGTCAAAGCAGGGAGGACTTACCGTGTTCGCAGTCACCGTGGTCTGCCCCTCCATGGTGAATGAGTACTGGCTGCCCGCTTCGCAGGGGCAGTTGGCCGCCCATGTCGGGTCCGCCACCTGGACGCAAGACTCCTGGCCGTATACGCCTCTACCCAGGAAGAGAGAGAGCGCGCCGGTGGCGAGAAGACTAAATCGATCCATGGTCGTGCCGATGCCGCCGCCGCTGCTGCGCTGTTGCATTGTAGGAGGCAAAGGGACCGGAAAGGCAATATCATAGCTTCGCTTCGGAAATTCAAACAAGCGTACCGGAATTGTTTAGATTCGTCACCCATCTGTGATTGAGCGCACATCAGGTGTTGGCACCAGAAAGAAAAATAAAGTAATATATATTGCTGCGCCGCTATCGGTGATATCGCACCTGGTGCGGTCACGGATCCACATAGTCTACAACCTCAGACGGACACGGGAGGAATGGCACTACAGTGCCGGCCCGCTCATGAGAAACGTCTAGATTTGCGAGGCTCAAACCTTGTTTTGTTGCCACCTCTGAGCAAAGGCTTTTTTGTAGGAATTGATGTAGCGCCGGCCGCTGTGCTCAATTTCTTAGGGCATTTTTTCTACGTTTGTCCAAATGTGAGCCTCAGTTTCTTAGCAACACATTTCCTGGGAACGGACCGGCACTGCCGGTACCTACCGCCGTACCGAGGAGCACAAACAAACGTAAACTTGCGGCATTTGAAAATCACCATAATTCGCAGAC